AATAACATTTAATTTATATAAGATAGTAATTGATTTAACTTCGTGATGTTGTCATTAGATGTGTTAATTGTACAGTGCCAATCTGCAAGGTCGACATCATTTAGAGACTTTTAAGTTCGTTGAGAAAAGGTTACTCATGTAATAATGTGGTTAAAAGAAAACAACTATTTTTATTCTAAAATTACTATTAATAAAGAAGTTCTTCAGTCCTTACCTACAAATGGTTATGTTAATGATCAGCTTATAAATGATAAAATAGTAACTGAAGAATTAGATAATGATGTTGAAGATGATATAATAATATACATCTTTGTCCCATCTCTTCCACCAGTTCACAGAGAAGATATTACTATTAACGAAACTCTTAATCGTATACAAAGTGAAAATAATTCTTTGTCTTGGCCAAATATAGATAATATATCTATCAACGAATTTAGAACTTCAGGTTACATTGCACGTGCTTTTCCAACTCTTTACCCTACTGGGCATGCTGATCTTCGATCAGAACACATTAGAGATATCAGTCTAGCTGAATATTTCAAGCATCTACTTTAGTACAAAGATGAAAGATTTGCACAACATACATGTTGAAGATATTTTGCATTGAATTCGATAATACGATGGCGAGCACTACAGGAAGAGAAAGTGTACGTTAAGCAAAAATTAAGTGATGCACAACTTATAGTCAAAAATATTCAAGATATGATTGCTTAAGGTGATAAATATATTGCTGATCGTATTATGTAATACGGGGAAGGTTTGCACAAATTCTGACAGTTTTGAATAGCGCAACGTCATGAATTGTCAGATATGATTAAACAAATAGGTTCAAGTGGGCTTGTGTTTTTTACATTCAGTGCTGCTGATTTTCATTGGCCAGAACTTCATAAACTTATTATATCAGGTGAAAATTCTGGTAAGATAGCTGAATCTGCATGGCAGCAAAATGTAATTAATAATCCTCACATTGCAGCCTGGTTCTTCAACAAGTGCTTTGAAATTTTTTTTAATGATGTATTAAAGAAGCAATGGAATTTGGAAGATTGGTGGTATCGATTTGAATGGCAATACCATGGTAGTGTTCATGTGTATGGAATCAAAAAACAACGGAATGCGCCTGTAATCGATTGGACAAAGATGAAAGAGGATGAAGAGATAATAGATGAAGTAGTGCGATATGTTGATACTTTGGTTTCTACGATTAATCCTGAACTTAATGCACCAGTTCCGGAACACTATCTATGCCAAAAAAGTAGTAGTGAACTGAATAATGACCTACAAGACTACATAGAATTGGTTAACAAGTTACAAAGACATACATGATGTAGCCTCTCATATTGTCTTCATATTAACCGGTCAGACCAACAATCTTGTAGATTTGGATATCCCATGAATATTATTGATCATACTGTCATGCGTGATGATAGACACGGCAGACCACAAGTCATTATAGCAAGAAATGATCTATTAATCAATCTACACAATCGGCTTCAACTACAAGGCTAGAGCGAATGTAGACGTCAAGCCAATTCTTAGCACCCATGCTGCTCTACAATATATTGCAAAGTATACAAGCAAAGCAGAGCCTCAATCAGCAACTTTTTCAGAAATATTAAACTGAATTTTTCAAAACAGTAATCCAGATAATTTATCACTTTCTTTAGTCCAAAAACTACTACTACATAATGTTACAGAGCATGATATTTCTGCACAAGAAACCTGCCACCTTCTTCTAGGTATTCTGCTCTACCATTCTAGTCGTACATTTATCTCTTTGAACCTTAACAAAAAAATATCACGATGAATTCGTGATACTAGTAGTAAAGATAATAGAGAGTATGTTAGTACTTATAATATAGGATATATGGCACAATCTCCTCTAAAATTATATTGGAAACATCCTACAAAATATGAAGAGTTCTCATTATTTCGGCTTAATTTAACTCATAAATTTACCCAGAATAATTGGAAAAAAAGCAAGCATAAAAATATAGTACGTATCTTTCCACAGTCTTCATCCTTGCATAATGGACCCCAATAGGAGAAGTTTTGCTGTATAAAAGTTGTTCTTTATGTTCTACACAGAGATATTAAGCAACTAACTAATAATAGCACCATTAAATAGTCAACCTTATATGATCGTTATTATGAAGAGATTAATAAGGACCCAATCGACATACTTGGACCCCATATAGATAATATCAAACCTACTGATGATGATGATGATGATGAAGAATTGAGATTAGAATAGATGTTATTGGCAGAAATGGGTCCAAATGCAGTTATAAATGATTCCTGTAATCTGGGATCTCGAAATATAGATCTTACTCATAATTAGGTTAATGATGCTAGACAATGCTACTCTGATACTGACCTTGCAAATATTGATACCTTCATATATTAAGCTTCTAGTAGCGATTGTCAAATAGATAAAAATACAAATATAAATACAGATGTTATCAATCCTCAAACCCTAAATGAGAATCAAATGAAAGTGTTTAAAAGAATAGAGTCACATTATTGTAGTATGCTCACGGGCTGTCTTGTTGAATCACTAAAAATAATAATAATAGAAACAGCAGGGACAGGTAAATCATATCTCATAAATGTAGTACGACATACACTTCAGCAAATGACAAGAATTGGGTCTAAGTCACCAGTACTTGTGCTTGCTTCAGCAGGTGCTGTGGCTTATAATATCAATGGTATGATGATTCATTCAGCTTTTTCGCTTACCCTAAATGATGGTAATAATAAACTGGATATAAATAGGATAAGACTAAAGCAGCTACAAAAGAGGTTAGAAGGTATAATCTATATAATAATAGACAAGAAAAGCATGGTTGAACGATGCATGCTTACTTTAATTGATATACGTTTATGCTAAGCTTTTCCCAAATACAGAAATAAGCTCTTTGGTGGTAGGTATATTATTATGGTTGGCAATTTTGGCCAACTTATATCAGTACTCAACCTCCCAATATATACTAGTGTTAAACGAGATCTATTATCAAATAATGGCCATGCAGCATACAAACAATTTAAAGAGGTATACAAACTTGACATAGTTTAACAGCAATCAGGAGATTCAGAAAAACAAAGGAATTTCTGAGACATTCTTTTATGGCTTCATGATAGTGAATTTACAATTGATGATTGGAAGTTATTTACTACACGATTTGAGGAAAAGGCATCAAGAATAGAATGTGACCAATTTTCCAAAACTACTTATATTCTACCAAAGTGGTCTGACGTAGATATTGTAAATCTAGACAAACTTCAAGCTTTAAATGTCCCAGTTGCTAAAATTATCGCTATACACACTGGTAATAGTGATGCTAAAAGAGTCGACTCAGACACAGCACATGGTCTTGAAGCAAAGTTGTTGTTGGCAAGAGGGCACGCATCATGCTTACAGCAAATATTTGGACAGAATCTGGGCTTGTTAATGGTTTATTAGAAACTGTTCAAGATATTTTGTTCAAAGTTCATGGATCCTTTCCTTATCTATAGCAGTTTTTGTATCCTTTGACTATTATAAAGGACCCACAATTACCAACTTAGAGAACACAAAAGTTGTTCTGATTACAATGATTAAATGTATCTGAGAAGGTAAAACAAGTAATGCATATTCATGTACACAGATTCCTCTTTATCTTGCATGGTCAATTACAGTTCACAAAAGCCAGGATTTCACTTTACTCAAGATTTATATATCTCTCAGAGAAAGAGAATTTAGTGCAGGCCTTTCTTTCGTGTGGTGTCTCGCATCCATGCTTTTAGTGATCTCCTTTTTAGATCATTTAATTTTGATAGATTAAGCCACATTAAAATCTGTAAACGGTTACAAGAGAGGAAAACTAAGGAAAGACAATTACTTTTTCTTGTATTTAGAAATTAGTTAGTTAATAGTAGTAGATCGAAACACATAAATAAAAACTTTAAACGATAAAAGGTAAAAGTAACATAACAAAAAGAAAAATGTCAATTGCTGATTTGCTAATTATTGTTTTACAAATCGCTCGATAAAGGTAAGATCACAATCACAATCACAATCCTAAAAAGCAATAAGATCACAGGTAATTTAAAAGAAAAATATCAATTGCTAATTTGCCAATGATAAAGGTAAGATCACGATCACGATTACGATTCTAAAAAGCAATAAGATCACAGGTAATTTAAAAGAAAAATGTCAATTGCTAATTTGTCAATGATAAAAGTAAAATCACGATCACGATCATGATCCTAAAGGGCAATAAGATCACAGGTAATTCAAATTGCCAAGGATTGTTATACAAATTGCTCAATAAAGATAAGATCACGATCACGATTATAATCCTAAAGAGCAATAAGATCATGGGTAATTCCAAAATGTTTATAAATTTTTTTTTTTAAATAAGTACAACAATAAATTAAGCACGCAACATGCGTATGGACAGACATGAATTTTCAAAATTATGTTTTTGATGCAATAGTTTAAAAAAAATCAAAAATATAACTATTGATGCATCAAAAACGTAACTTTTGTATCACTATATGTAAATCTTAAAAGTTTTTCGCTATGCTTTGGACAATAATTTTTAAATCATGTTATAATCTAATACTAGGCTATACTAATCCAATCAGCTACCTGATATTTATCCAGCTACTCTTATAGGTGTCCAAACATATTCTAGTTGCACTACTAGTATGTTATGACCGAGGCTAATACTTGCGGTTAAAGTATTTCCCAACTTTGGAGAAGCATTGTAATTAAACCATTAAGCTAATAGAGGAGGATCATACTTGTACTGATGCTACTTCTGCATCCTAAAACTACTATATTTAGCTAAGCCTATATTTCTCGCTTCTACTACTTTGCTTCTGTACAACTTTCAAATTAGTAATATTCAGATTATAGATCTTTATAATCTTCCAGTTTGGTGTGCTATGTTATTGTTTTTCTCTAAAATATTTTGATATTGGTCCAGAATTAGGGTTGTTAATGGGTTGGGTTGGGTTGGTTTGGGTTGACCCAATCATCAACCCACTCCACTAAATTAGACTTACTCCAATGCTTTGCTCCAGGTTGCTCCATAGTACTCTGGGTTGCTCCAAATTTAAAGGCATAATTTTAAACCCACTCCAACTTGGGCTGGGTTCTACTCCGGAGTGCTCCAGAGTAAGCTACTCCATTAACAACCCTATCCAGAATCTATAAAAACTCGTATCTCAAGCCAGAAACTGCTGTCTATTTAGATTCATCACATGACAGTATTGGTATTTTATTGTTGAGTAATCTCTATCACTTATCTGCCCAAGTACTACTAACCCGTATCTTAAGCTACCACAGCTTAATTACAGATGTCTCAGGTCTTAACATTATACAGTTACTCAGCATCTTCTTTAGTTCTTTTAAGTACTACCTGCTATAGTGAGTTTAAGATATATTTTACAAGCATTTAGAATAATTTTGATTATATCTAGGAAGTTTACTGATCCTGATGATGCTATACTACCATATAATGTTTGCTTCTAGCATGTTGTTATACAATACCAGGACAATTCTGGTTATTCCTAAAGAGTTACACTAACTCCAGTAATGCTATATTACTATTTGTTATTGTAAACCCCAGAGGTTAGTAGATCCTAAACTTGTTCATCATAGACTTCTATATAGATACAACTGAAACCTGATTCGGTACCTTTATATATATACAGAATATCAGACAACCTCTATAATCTTTGTCTTCTATAGTATCTTCAATTTGCATTGCCAGAGATACTTCTATTCTGATAAAGCCAATCCTTTACTACAGACCATTTACATGTTCACCACTTTTCTCACTACTTCTAACTTTGGTTATACTGATTACCTTTCCAAGCATATACTTATATCTTCTTCCTAGATAAAAACTTATTTGTGCAATTTGTTGACTACCCTTCCAAGCAAGTACTCCACAAGTTAGGTATAAAGATATTGGTATTATCAAATCTAAAGATACAAGGATATTGGTGCTGTCCTGTCTCTGTAAAACTTATTCATACAATCTTCATAGCTGCAGTTTTCTGTAATACTGCAGTTATATGTAATGCCAATGCTCTATATTTAGGTCTCTTTCTGAGAATTCCTATTCTAGCTTTATACTTGCACTTGGATTTAGCCACAAGGTATCATGTTCAATTATGGGTTTGGAAGCTTAACCAATAAGCTATAAGACCCAAACTCTATATAATAAATTTTTAAAAAAATATATAATAAATATAACTAATAAAAGTTCAACTAATAAAAATCAACTAATAAAAATTTAAATATACTAATAATATTTAATTAATAAAATATAAAATATATTAATAAAATTTTACTATATTATATTAAACTTAATATTTTTAACTTTTTTCTTTTTTTTTTTCTTAGACAATCTGGTCTACTTTATTTAGAAAAAAACTGAATGTTTTTACATAAGTATTGTAACTATTATAGCTATACTATCTTAACCAAAGATAAACCTCACCCAGTTTTACATATGCAAGTTTATAGTAAACTATTAACTGCTATATTGTACTTAGATATGACTTGCTATAGTTATACTTGGCCTTCTCCAGAGGTTC